CCACCAGTGGCCCACCAGCAAATGGCCACCAGCAACTGGCCACCACCAGCTGGCCACCAGCAAATGGCCACCACCAGCTCAATGAAATAAATTGACAACGAGCTAAAGGCAACTCCATCAAAGGCGAGATATTTTCCAAAAGTGGTGGTATTTTCCAAAAGTCAGTTGGTGGCATCCAGTTGGTGGTGGCCAGTTGTCCCTTTCCTGGGGACTGGGACAACTTTGCTAGAGGCACTTAGTAACAAAAAACCCTGGATCCAGCTGTCACCTCCCCTCCAGCACTGCCATTCCCTAAAAGCTGCCTGCTCTGGGCAGGCAGAGGGACTGTGCAGCCCCTGGGCACACCAGCCAAGTCCTCACCTGATGAAGAGGGTGCAGAGGATGAAGATGATCAGCCCCACGATGCTCGGGGCATCCCACCAGGTTGTCTGCTGTTGGGTGACCGAGCCAGTGCTGTTCCTCACTAGCAGTGTGGGGTTACAGGTCTGGGCTGGGGAGACACACACAGGGGGTTCAGCACCTCCCACAGCCCCCAGAGACCCAGGGGGGGAAAAAACACCCAGCCCAGTGTGTGCCCCGTGCACCCTCCTCCCGAACCCGAGGCTGGATCCTGCTTACTGGGCACGTTAGCCAAGGCAGACCAGGTGACATAGAAGGTGTAGAGGGTGATGAGAGATGCTTGTAGCAGCCCTGAGTGTGGCTGAGCTTCCTGCAGAACAACAGTAAGGACGGACTCAGGGTGGGTCCTGTACCCCACAGTGACATGTCCCACCTGCCTGATGGCCACCCAGTGCTGCCTCACCTGGATCTTGGGCAGGATGGACACGGCCGAGACGATGAGGCAGAGGATGAGGTTGATGCTGATGAGGACCTTGCCCTCTGTGCAGTCCTGGGGCTTGGTGTAGTAGATGTAGAGCAGCACTGCAGCCGCGATGGAGGCGGCGTAGAAGATGGAGGTGATGATGCAGAGGGCTGGGGGAGAAAGCAAAAAAGGAAAGTAGGTCAAGAGAGGTTCTCCTCCCCCTCTCCTTTGCCTTGGTGAGGCTGCATCTGGAATGTTGTGTCCAGTTCTGGGCCCCTCAGTTCCAGAAGGACAGGGAACTGCTTGAGAGAGCCCAGGGCAGAGCCCCAGAGATGCTGGAGGGAGGGGAACATCTCCCTGCTGAGGAAAGGCTGAGGGAGCTGGGTCTGTTGGGCTTGGAGAAGAGGAGACTGAGGGGCCACCTCATCCATGGGCACAAATCTGTTCAGGGCAGTGTCAGGAGGCCAGAGCCAGGCTTTGTGCAGTGATGTCCAGTGACAGGACAAGGGGCAGTGGGTGCAAACTGGAGCCCAGGAGGTTCCATGGGAATCTCAGGAAGAACTTGTTTGCTGTGAGAGTGCCAGAGCCCTGGGCCAGGCTGCCCAGAGAGGCTGTTGGGTCTCCGCATCTGGAGACATTCCAACCCCCCTGGCCACGTTCCTGTGTGATGTGCTCTGGGTGCCCCTGCTCTGGCAGGGGGGTTGGGCTGGGGGAGCTTTCCAGGTCCCTTCCAACCCCTGGGATTCTGTGACTGTGTGAAAGAGGTTGGAGTAGAGCCTCCTGGAGTCCCCAGAAGCTCATGCTCACCCACCCCAGGGTGAACAACACCAGCACCAGCCCTACTGACCTGCATACCAGCCCTTGGTGTTGCCCTCCCCCGCGTTGCGCAGCCACACTTGGCTCCAGGAGTGGGCGAAGTCGATGAGCAGGATGAGCTGGATGAGGATGAAGAGGAAGGAGCCAACCACACCGAAGTAAAACCAGACTTGAGGGGAAGAAGAGACGCAACAGTTCAGAGCAGGGGTAACGGGACTCCGGCCATGGCAGGGGCCCCCAGCAGTGGGGATGCCACCCCCAGCCCCGGGTTTAACCCCGTGCTGAGGGTTAACCCAGATGCAGAGCAGGGGCAGCTCCTCACCTGAGGTGAAGGCACCATCGGGGATGTAAAAGGCCCCCACCGTGATCCCCACCAGCACCAGGAACTTGAAGAACCAAAAGCTGCGGGAGGAGAAAGGAGGGCAGAGTCCACAAGAAGCGCAAACCCCATCCCCAACAAGTGTCCCCTACCCCCACCCAGGGACAGATCCTCACCCGTTCTGCAGGGCGGCCCGCGGGTCCCGGCTGCTGCGCACGCACAGCAGGAGCGCGGCGAAGAGGAAGAAGAAGGAGGCCATGGCGAAGCCCACGCGGTACACGGCCTTGTGGCCCAGGAAGCTGCTACAGTCCACGTGGGCCTGCACCCCCAGCACCCCCGAGCTGCTGCCTTCACAGAAGCCAGGGAGCTGCGAAGGGAACGGGAGGGCGAGCGTCACCCCGGCACCCACCACCAGCCCTGCTGCCACCAAAGATGGGGCAGCTCATGGCTGCTCCGATGCCCGCCCATGAAGGGAGCAGTTGGGCTGTGGGGTGACACAGCTAAAGCCACCCTGAAGGTCAGAGGAAAGCTGGGATGAAACCAGCACTTCCCAGAAAGCCTGGCTCAGCCTTCCCACGAGCCTGGCTGGCAGACCTCAGAAGTGCCACCTCCAAGGCTTGCAAGGCATCTGGCCAGTTGAACTCCCAAAAAAATGGGATGTAGGAAACTTCCCTGAGAGACATCTAGGAAATGATCCCACTGCATTGTCCCCTCCGTGGAAAACTGGCTTCAGCAACACCCTCTCCCAGGGGAATGCTCAGAAAAAAAAAAAAAGAGGAACAGAAGCAACATGTTGCCCCCAAAATTCACTTTCTGATTCAGCCTCACATACCCACCACGAGCTCAACCTTTTCCCCATGGTGACCAAGCCCAGTGATGTCTGGGAGCTCTGTACCTTGTGCAGCTCCTTCTCCACGCCAGGGATTATCATGATGATGGACACGAGGGTGCCAAGGAAGAGGAAGAAGGTGAAGAGGAGGCGGGAGACGGTGGAGTTCTTGGCCGAGGGGCAGCAGCCACAGAGCAGGCATGGTGCAGAGCCACAGAGGCAGGACACCTGCAACAAGAGCATCCTCAAGTCCCAGGGGTTGAAATTGCCCCCAAAACACGTGCCCAGGTCAAACGGTAAGAATATCTGCCCAGGAATCCACCCCACTGCACCAGGGGCTTTGCTTGGACCTTCTCACCAGCCATCAAAACCCACAGGGCCTCATGGAAACGGCCCCAAGTCCCCCCAGAGAGTTGCTGGAAACCAAACGAGCCATGGGAACAGGTTCACTGCCATAGCCAACCAACTTGGAAAATGACACCAAGAGTCTTGGAGACATCCTCTCACCTTCTTTTTATTTTTTTTGCTCCCTAGTAATTGTACACATAAAAAAAGGCTCCAGTCAAAGCCAAGCCCTGCCCTGCAGGAACCTCCTTTCTTTATGGAAAAATAGAATCAATAAAAACAACCAAAAAACCCAACCAAAAAAAAAAAAGAGTTGGCAAAATAATTTAATTCCTTTTCAATCTAATACAGGATGGGGAAGGAGGGAAGATATCACTATGATGGGGAAAACACATTCTGCCACCCTTTGTCCTCACCAAAGGCCACATCACAGGTGGGGAAACTGAGGCACAGCATTCCTGGACACCATGGTGAGAACTGGCTTCCCAAATCCAACATCAGCAGGGCTGCCAGGTGCACCCTCACTCCAGGGGCTCCCACTGCCAGGCCAGAGCTGGGTGCAGAGCAGGGAACCAGGGAAACTTCAGGTGAATAAACCCAACCTGATTGCCAAGCAGAACATTGGCAAGAGTTTCCTGCACAAGGGTGGCACAGAACAAGGCTTGCAAGGAGAAAAGAAGAACGTTGTATTAAATTGTGTTCTTAGGTTTCCCTGGCTCCTGTAAGCCATCCCTAGAGGAGCATTAGGGAGATGCTGTGTGAATCCCAATAGTTGGGCTGGGCTGAGTTGAGCTGTCCTGCTCCAGTATTCACTGTCCTCATCAATTTCCCAATAATTTGAATATTCACCCATCTATTAATTACCTACAAGGTCTGGGAGTGCCCCATTCATTTGCCTTAGGGATAGAACAGCTGTCAGGGGGTTGTATAACAGTTTTTAGAGCCCATGTGGGTCAGGAATGCAGGATACATCCATAGCCAACCCTGACTGCACCAACCCTGATCCAGATGGGGAAGATTTTCAGCCTCTTAATCACCTGTGCCAGGACCAGGACCTCCCAGCTCCCTGTCACATCCCCAGAGCCCTGCCTTCCCAAAAGAGGATGAAGTTGGAAAATAAATAGGGCATTTTCAGGCATGTGAGCAGAAGGTCCCACGTTAACTATTTAGGGGGTTGCACTGAGGATGCTGAACTCTCAGGAATCATTTGGGTTGGTTGGGGCAGTAAAACCAACATCTCACATCGAGGCAGAGCAGGTGGTGACACCCTCCTGGGCACTGAACCAGGAGCCAGCATTGACTCCATGATGGGCTGCAGTGCTAAATAAAACCTCAAAGGATCCAAAAAACTAAATTTAAACTAAATTCCCAACTCTGCCCTGTGGTGAACTGGGAACAGCAGGGCTCTTGGGACAGACAGCACAACCAATGCCACAGCAAAATACACCCCAAGTCCTCTAAAATAGGGAAATCTCAGGTTGTTTACTTTTTTTTTTAAATGCCAGAGTGAAGCCATCACAAGCCCACAGCCTCTCCTGGCCTGGGCACTGGCCCAGGGAGCAAAGAGAATCCCCCAAGTAGGTGCTGGCAACCTTCCAGCTACACGTACTGCCTAGAGAGCCATGGGAATTAAATATTCACAGTTTGTTTGAACTACTACTGCTTAGCTTCTCAAATATTTTTCTCTAGCTGAATTGCATTCCCAAATCCACTTATTTCAAAACCTACAGCACGGGGCATTTTTAAAGCCAGCTTCCTAGGAAGCCTTGTGAGCATCCCTGGCCCCTCAGCAAACTGCTTTCCATTGACAACCTCACTGAATCGATTTCTTTGGCTTTAGAAACTTCCTTTCTTCCCTTTGAACAGCTCTTCCTTGAAACACATCAGCACATGCACTTGCAAGCAGGATGAGGGTTCAGGTCTCTCCCATTATTAGGGGATGTGCATGTGCTGTGTGTTCATTTATGAGCTCCCTAACCATGCCCAGCAATCAATATTAATTAAGTATCACTTAGTATCAAGTCAAATATACATTTCTCATTGCTAAAATTCATGTGAAAAATCGACATGGGAGAAAAGAAAAACAAATGTTGAGCTGCTGTGTGAGCAGGACATCAAACCTCCAGCTCCCTTGTTAGGGATGCTCATCAGTGGTCACCTTGATGGCCCCAAACCACTAGAGGTGGCTTTGAATTTCTTTTTGAACCACCAGCACATCATTATTGGAGAAAATTCACCTTCATCTTGATTTATTTCTCTTGACCCACATGCCAGCCTCATGTCCCAGCCCCATCAGAGGCTGTGTGGAGCTGACCCCCAGGAGCTGGGGTGGGTAACAGCCTCTGAGTCCTACAGGGATCTCATTCCACCTCTGCAGGAGCTGCTCAAGAGACATGACTTCATGGTTTCAACTTGAAAGCAGGAGAAAAAAAAATGGGCTTCAATTAGAGATTGCTTCCTTTCAGGCTCATTGAATGCACCACTTGCACAAGAAGGCACTGAAAATGTGCCAGCATTGCTCTAGTTCCCCTTCAAATAAAAAAGAAAGAGAAAAAACAAACAAACAACAACAAAAAAAACTAACAAAAAGCCCTTTGAATGCCAAATGAGGATGTTATTTGACCTGATCTGGCAAAGCACCTTAGTGCTGCTCCAACCTGAGACACACCAATACCAAATGTATTCAGTGCCAAATGAAACCAAAAGCACCAGTCCCAGAATCACTGAAACTGGCCTGGAAAATCCTGAGGTTTGTTGGTTTTTAGGAGGTTGTTGGATCTGGGGGTTCAGCCCCACATCCAAGCATCAGCCAAGACTTGCAGGAGGCACAGCCTTACCTATCCCATTTTCCCCAGGGGGGTGCAGGTAGAAGGAGGTGAAGGGATGTCCATGGGGCCATGATGGAGCTGAGCTGAAGGAAACCCCTGGTGCAGCCCCCAGACCCTGTGCTTGAACCCTGGGAAAGCTGCAGGGAGATGAAGTAGTTTCCAGTAACAGGTTCTGGGGAGGCTGCAGCATCCCTGGAGCCTGCTGGAGGTTTCTTTTCACAGAAGACTCTTCCAGAACCAAGCCCTGTTGCCAAGTTTCAGGTTTTACAGCCTCTTGCAACCACAGGAAGGCAAGCACTGAGGGAGCAGGGTAGAGCAGCCCCATCCTGTGCAGCAGGAACACACAGGCTCATACACCTCCTGTCAAAGACCTTCAAAGATGCCACCAACTATGGAGGTGGCCAAGGGCAAACAGCAGGATGGAGAAAGCCAAGGGAAGTGGCTGCAGCATGAGAGGGGAGGGTTCATGAGGAAGTGTCAGGTTTCAGCCCATCTCTCCAGTTTCACTATCAACTTCCTCATTAAAGCCAGCTCACCTCCAGTGTGACACACACACACACACACACACGGGCTGCTCTGCTCCCTGCTCTGTGAGGCTGGGAGGGCACAGCCTGAGCCAGACAAGCACTGTCCACCCAGGCAAGGGAACACAACACCACAAACCCAGTTACACCACCCCCACTACACCAGATCAACTACACTGGCCCAGCTACACCAGCACCTCATCACCAAACAGCCCAACATCATCAACCCAACTACACTACTCAAACACCACCAACCCAACTACAGCAAATCAACATCAGCCCCACTACACCAACCCAACATCACCACAACTACACCCGTTCAACCACACCAAGCCTAACACACCAACCCCAATGCACCAGCCCTACAACACATCTGCTCCAAGCTCCCTTCACCCAGCAAAGAGGCAGAGACTGAGTCAACAAGCAGCAATGTCGGGCAACCAGTCTTTGGATCCTGTTAAATGAACAACCCAGCAGGTGAATCAGTACCAAACCCACAGGGCCAGGTGTGTCCTGTTAAATTAACAACCCAGCAGGTTAATCAGTACCAAACCCACAGGCTGGTGGCTCTCACATCTAGCAGGTGGCTTTACACTGGTTCCACTGGAAGGAACAGGAGAACTAGACCTGCACAGCAACACTGCCCAGTTACCATGGCCTGGGCCAGGAAAAAATTGGGGATAAAACCCAGAATTAGGCCAGAAACCTCTCCAGCCCTGCTCTGGGGTAACTCCTGGTTTCCCAGTACCTGCCCATAAGGAAAAGCACTGGCTGTGTGTTACAGGGGCCCTGCTGAGCCCCCTCCCCCCAGTCACACGTTTTGAAAGCTGCTGTTGGTGAAACCTCCAGAACTCAGAGGTCGGGCTGGGAAACTGCCCCGTGTCCAGGCTGGCAGCTCCCGGGTGGGTTTCACAGCCCTGCCTGGCCCTGTGCCCGCAGCTGAGGCCGTGCCAGGAGAGGCAGAGCCAGGAAAGGCTCCTGCATCACTGGGCACCGCACCCCACAGCCCCACCGGGCACCCCAAACAGAGACACCCCCC